TTATTTATTTCACAATTGATAAATTGATTAATTGACAGTTTGAATGAGGTGCAATTGTTCAATGATGGCTTTAATGATTATTTTGCAACTTGATTTTTTTACCCGAGACTCACCAATTTTGACATGTTTTTATAGATTAAAATCCAGTATCAACGATCCATGGCATTGGTTCTTCACATCTCATATTAAATCAAGACAATAGATTATTAGCGATTGCAATAAATGACTATTTATGTGCATCGGGTGATTGCTCACCTATAAAATCATGTGCATATATCGCCGATAATTGACAATTCCCATGTATATGACCCTATTTCATACACGTCACGGGCAATGGTAACGTGTTACGTCATATGTAAAAAATCAGATTATCAGCACTTTATGTCAGCTCACGCCATGATCGTGGTTTATAAATGCAGTTAAAATATCTTACTACAAAATGAAATTATAGGAGTGTCGGATGATGCAATTTCAAATATATATATAATTCAGTATAATCGAACACTCCTACTGTACTTCCCTTACTTTTATTTTCAACTATCACAAAGCTATTCTCTGGATTGTATGTTATTTATATTTATTTGGATTAAGCAGATTTTATATACTGAGATGGACTGTCAGTAAATTTATCCATCATTTTGCATTTGTTATTTTGAGACTTAGCCATACTAACATATATACATCCATTCTTTCGATTCAAATTTGGTGTGTACATTCGAGTAATTGTTGCTACTCAACATCTTATACCAGTATAAACTCTTTTCTCATTATAGGGATTGCAAAATTATCATGTATGATAAGTTGGTTATCACATATATTAACTATTGCATTATTTTAACGAAGCTAGTACAGTTGATATAACTCAATAATTAATTTTTCTTTTTTACTTTGTGACATCGCTTCAGATATATAACAGCCACAGTTTTATAAGTCTTATATATGTGCTTATCTTCTGATTCTGAACTAGATATGGAAAAACTACTTGAATCTGAAGTATCTGAATTGGAAGAAAAATCAAAATGGAAAGTGCCTGAATCAGAAGTTGCAGAGATATTTGATTTGCGGGGTACTGAATCTTTCAATTCCCCAAGAAGTATTTTATAAAAATCATGAATATCTCTTTTATTAACAGATACTATAACTCTTAACTTC